GAAGATGCGGAAGGGATTGTACATCCCCACAATGATGCGCTGGTAATATCTGTACTTGTAAATAAAATTCGAGTTAAACTTGTGTTAATTGATCCAGGTAGCTCGGCCAACATCATTCGATCGAAGACCAAATCATACCTGCAGTCCGGGTTCTAAATGGATTCAACATGGCATGTGAAACCACTAAGGACGAGATAATGTTACTAGTAAACACCATCGGGACCATCCAGGAAACAAATCTTTACATGATCGAAGGAGACATGAGGTACAACGCTCTATTCGGGAGGCCATAGATCCACAACATGAGGGTGGTGCCCACGGCACTGCACCAGGCACTGAAATTCCCAACACCTAGCGGAGTCAAAATAGTTTACGGCGAATAATCGGCTGCCAAGGAAATGTTCGCGGTCAAGGAGATGATACCAGCCTCTACAATATCGAAGGATCCGAACCAGATGGTAAAAACGGGGCCAAATAGCAATCACTGATACCATCCTCGACAGATTCGGACGGACAAAGGGAAAGTGAAGATGATGATTACGGGGTCCCCAGATCTTTTATAGTCCCCGATGATTCTGATGCCACTAAATCGATGGTCGAGAAATTGGAACAAGTCATATTGAGAGAACCCTTGCCCGATCGAAAGGTATACCTGGGCACGGGGTTAAGCTCCGAGCTCAGGAAAAGACTCATTCAATTTCTTATAACTAACGAAGATTATTTCGCTTGGTCCCACCTTGATATGACAGGGATCCCACCGGAGGTAACCACTCACAAGCTGAGCCTGGACCCGAAGTTTTATCCGGTAAAACAAAAGAGGAGACCCCAGTCCGAGGTCAAACATACCTTCATCAAGGATGAGGTATCTAAACTCTTTAGAATAGGGTCATTTCGGGCGGTTAAATACCCCAATTGGTTAGCAAATATGGTAGTAGTCCCTAAGAAAGGGAACAAATTAAGAATGTGTGTAGACTATAAGGATTTAAATAAAGCATGCCCTAATGATTCTTTTCCTTTGCCCAACATAGATCGAATGATCGATGCCACGGCCGACCACGAGTTCCTCAGTTTTCTCGATGCCTACTCCAGGTACAACCAAATACGTATGGACCTGGGTGATCAGGAGAAAACCTCCTTCATCACAAAATACGGCACATACTACTGCAACGTGATGCCATTAGGTTTAAAGAACGTCGGTGCCACTTACTAACACCTAGTAAATAGGATGTTCGAGGAACAAATAGGAAAATTGATTGAAGTTTACATTGACGACATATTGGTCAAGTCCCTGTGAGCAAAGGACCATTTAAAATATTTGCAGGAAACCTTCAGCATAATGAAGAAATACAATATGAAGCTGAACCTAGAGAATGCGCATTTGGAGTTGGATCAGGTAAATTCCTTGGGTTCATGGTATCCAACCGAGGAATCGAGATCAACCCCGACAAAATTAAAGCCACCAAAGATATCACGATTGTGGATGACGTGAAAGTCGTACAAAGGTTAACCGAGTGTATAGCTGCCCTGTGGCAATTTATTTCGAGGTCATACGATAAGAGCCACCAATTTTTTGCACTATTGAAGAAGAAGAATAACTTCTCATGGACCCCGGAATGCCAAAGAGCTTTAGAGGAACTCAAATGGTAATTATCGAGCCCGTCGCTGCTTCACACACCGAAGGCAAACAAACAACTGTACTTGTACTTAGCGGTTTCGGAGATAGCGGTAAGTGGAGTCCTAGTCCTGGAAGAGCAAGGTACGTAATTTCCAATTTACTATGTTAGCAGGACCCTACGTGAGGCCGAAACTAGGTACCCTCACCTAGAAAAACTGGCGCTCGCGTTGCTAAGCGCCTCTAGTAAGCTAAAACCATACTTCCAGTGTCAACCCATATGCATCGTAACTACTTACCCGTTGAGGAATGCTATGCATAAACCTGAGCTCTCGAGCGGGTTAGCCAAATAGGCTGTGGAAATAAGCGGGTACGATATTGAATACCGACCCCGAACCGCCATTAAGTCTCAAATCTTGGTAGACTTCGTGGCCGACTTTACGTCGGCTTTAATACCCGAGGTTGAAAGAGAGTTATTAATCAACTCAGGGACTTCCTTGGGAAACTGGACCCTCTTTACGGATGGTGCCTCAAATGTGAAAGGGTCCGGACTTAGCATCATATTGAAGCCGCCAACAGGCAATATAATTATACAATCTATTAAGACTGTGAAATTGACTAAAAACGAGGTCGAATATGAGGCCATGATTGCAAGCCTTGAACTAGCCAAAAGCTTGGGGGCAGAAGTAATCAAAGCCAAGTGTGATTCCCTCCTTGTGGTAAACTAAGTTAATGGAGCATTCGAGGTCAGAGAAGAATGAATGCAAAGATACTTAGACAAGTTGCAAGTAACATTACATTAGTTTAAAGAATGGACTTTACAACACGTACCTCGGGATCAAAACAGTAAGGCCGATGCCCTCGCTAACTTAGGGTCATCGGTCGAAGATAACGAGTTCAATTCGAGGACAGTCGTATAGCTTATGAGATCGGTGGTAGAGAAAATCCATGTCGATATCAACTCAACGAGCCTAACTTGGGACTGGATGAATAAGTATGTAGAATATTTTAGTGCCAGAAAACTGCCCTCGGATCGAAAAAAATCGAGGGCCTTGCGTACTAAGGCAGCCCGGTTTAGCCTGTCCGAAGACGGAACCCTGTTTAGAAGAGAATTTGATGTCCCACTCGCAATATGTCTAGGGCCAGGGGATACCGAGTACGTTTTGAGGGAAATCCACGAAGGTACTTGTGGGAATCATTCGGGCGCCGAATCGCTGGTTCAAAAAATAATCAGAGTCGGTTATTACTGGATCGACATGAAAAAAAATGCAAAGGAGTTCGTTCGAAAATGTGATGGATGCCAAAGACACGCTCTAATGATTCATCAACCCGGTGCATTCGGTTTTATCACCATGGCCGTTCATGAAGTGGGGAATGGACATCGTCAGCCACCTTCCATGGGCACCCGGTAAGGCTCAGTTTATATTGTTTATAACTGACTATTTTTCTAAATAGGTGGAAGCCCAGGCGTACGATAAGGTCAGGGAGAAGGAGGTCATCGCTTTCTTTTGGGATCACATCATATGCCGATTCGGAATGCCGGCCGAGATTGTATGCGATAATGGGAAATAATTCATCGGCAACAAAGTAACCAAATTCCTTGAAGACCACAAGATCAAAAGGATCATATCAATACCCTATCACCCTAGTAGGAATGGACAAGCTGAATCTACCAACAAAACCATACTCCAAAACCTTAAAAAGAGGTTAACCGACACCAAAGAAAAATGGAAGAAAATACTACCTGAAGTCCTATGGGCATACTGTACAACCTCGAAGTCCAGTACCGGGGCCACCCTAATTTCTTTGGTTTATGGCGCCTAAGCACTAATACTAATCAATGTCGGAGAACCAAGTATCAGATTTCGATATGCGACAAAGGAATAAAACAACGAGGTCATGAGTACGAGACTGGAGCTATTAGATGAAAGGCGTGAAGCCGTCCTTGTCCGGTTGGACGCCCAAAAACAACGGATCAAAAGGTATTACAATTGAAGGGCCAACCTTCGACACTTTAATACCGGGGACTTGGTACTAAGGAAGGTCACACTGAGCACCCGAAACCCGAACGAAGGGAAATTGGGGCCGAACTGTAAAGGACCATACCAAATTATCGAGATCACCGGAAAGGGATCCTACAAACTCGGAACAATAAACGGCGAGAAACTGCCAAACAACTGGAATATAACTCACTTGAAGCGATATTACTGCTAAGGTACGGCCCCGTTCTTTATTTTATTCACATTTTAAGCTAACACTTTCAGGTAACCAACAAGGGACGATACTAGATTTTAGGTCAGAAAGCACACGTTGCACTCCTTTTCCCTTGAACCAGTTTTGTCCCAAATGGGTTTTCCGTCAAGGTTTTAATGAGGCAACAAGTAAATAATGCTAACTTAGAATTGAAGGCCGGCCATGAACCGGTGACGATGATCACAACAGTATTCGAGGCCTCTCCTCGATCAGTCCTGAACACTGAGGAGCATTATCCTCGGATATCAACTTTAGCATGGAAAGAGACTCAATCGATAGGTTTTATTGTAAGGGCCAAATAGTCAAATGAACTATGCCCACATAGACTACTCGAACCCTGGCACCAAGCATGTATACATGTATAACTATTATGCACAAGAATGAAAAGAGGTCTCTTCCTTGCGCACAAACATCTTGTCCTTTAAAGAATTTCTTGTATTTCTCAAAGAATTTCCTACATACGATCCCCTAAAGGTATCGAACCCAAGGGCCACCTTAATCCGAGTTCAAACAATCACTCTCACTGGGGGACTTCCGTCCGAAAACAAACTCGGACGGTCCGAGCTATCAGACCCCGGGGGCATAAGACCTGTTAGCCAATGCCCGAATTTCAAAGGCCATGGCCACCCCCACTCGGGAAATGTTATCTTAGGTAAGACCAGATAACTCGGTAAAGCAAGCCTACTAGGCGACACCCCGAATGAAAAAGGCTATGGCCATATTAACGCGGCTCGGAGATGTCCGAGACCCGCAACAAAAATGAGGCCTTCAAATAATTCCATAACCGGTTCTAAAGGCTACCCTCGGTAAACTATAATCTAAACTACCTTGGGAAAAAGTTTTTGGTAGTACCGAATCCCCACGATGCCTTAAAACTAAATAATGTTAAAGGCAAGGTTTGTTCGAACCTTCGAACATAACCTAACTATTTCATGATAAGGCATTTCGATCTTTGCGAACACAAAAAAAAAAAAAGCAAAAGGAAAATTCAAAAGCTGTGAATGGGAAAAATCCTTATATATACATATCAAAAATTCTTTTTATGGGACAAATAGCCCCGATACAAATTTTTACAAAGGCCGAACGGCCTCAACAAAAACAGAAGACAAAAACATCAAAAAAAATCCTAAGTGGCCTAGTCTTCGTCAGGGACCGCATCATCACCTTCAGGGTCTCTGCCACCCTCGGACTCACCCGAATCTTCAGACTCCTCGGAATCTTCCTCCTTGGGATAGGCCAGCTTCCTAGTCATGGCTTCGAGCACCTTGGCATCATTGATCTTAGCCGATAGATCGAAACCCCGAGCGTGAATCTCCTCGAGGGCCTCTCTTCAGTATTGCCACTTCATATGATCAACCATATGTTTTACAAGGACTCGAGCTGCCTTGGCATCGGCCTTGTGCTGGGCGACCCTTTCATCAACTTCAGCTTTGACTACGACGACCTCTGACTTGGCCGCCTCAAACTCTTTGGCCAGATTTTCTTGATCGGACACAGCCGAAATCAGCTAAGACTGGATCCCCTCAACCTTTTTGGCCGCACCAAAGCCTTTTCCTTTGTAGTCCGAAGCTGAACCTCAACCGAAGTCAATTGTGCCCGGGTAGCCTCCTTTTCCGAGGCCAAGCGGTCCATGTTTCTTTTCCATTCTTCGGCCTCGGCCTTCACTACATCTACCTCCACCTGGAGCTGCTCGATCTGATCAAGTTTCTTTTGATCCTGCGGGTTCGGACCGTTAGCCACTGTATTTGACTCATCATCACCAACTTCAAATACTCTTCTTACCTGCTCGACTAGGTCGGCATGTTCCTTCCGGACCGCCTCTAGCTCATCCCGGAGTTTCTCACTGAGAAGTTTGTAAGCATCCCTCTTCTTAGTGAACCCTCGAGTCTCGGCCTCGTGTTAGTTTAACTCTTCTCGATATTGGAGAAAAGTCTCATGATGAAGCACTGAGGCCTGCAAGCACAAAGAAAAGAGTTACGATTATTTGCAACTTAATTTAAAGTACATAATAAAGGTCGACAAGAGGCATTCAAAGTTACCCGATTCAACGCTTGGTTTGCTTCATTGAACAGGCAGGGCGCTTCCACCCCGTCCATCTTGGCTTGATCCCCTTCGGTCACCAGGCACAGAAGATAGCTGGCAACCCCCATGGGGGTAGAGAGAACCCGGGCATCCTCTGGAATAGACATAATAATTGACCGCTTCCGATTAGGATCTGCGCTTGGAGCTGGGAACCGGCTTACTAATTTTGGACTTGAAGAAGGCATGTTGGCTCCCGAAGACGGTCTCTTCTTTGGTACCGGTAATTCACCCAACCCGGTGACGTCCTCTGAGGCGGTAGAATCTAAGCCATCAAAGAAGTTGTTAAAAGAGTCTTCCACCCCTTGGGGCCCCTCGTTTAGGCGTCCTTTCAGCATCTGGGCCTCGTTGATCATGGAGTCGGTAAATGAGGGCGACTCGGAGAGGTCTATCACTCCAAGCGCATCCTTCAGGATGTTATCCTCTGCCCGAGAAGCACCGGCCGTGGTCTCTTTGTCGACCTCCCCAGCTTGGGGAAAAACGGCCTCGCCCGTCTCTGGTTCGGAGGCCTCGGCCACTGCCTCTTCACCAGCCACCCTGGTTTGAGGCAGTTTGGTATCGCTTTGCACGCGGGCCACCAGTTCGGAAGCTTCTTCTTCTTCTTCGGACTCGTCCCTCAGTCGACTGAGTGAGTCCGATGGGATCTCCCGGGCGTTGGTGCTTTCCTTGGATTTGTACACCAGCCTTCTTTTTGGTTTTTTCTTCTCCGAATTCGGAGAACTCGGAGCCCTTTTTCTCTTCTTTTCCTCACCCTGTCTCGAAGCAGGGGACTCGGAGGGGCAATCCTCGCCACCACAACATCCTTGGGAAGACCTGCAAAGAAAAGGAAAATGAGTAAGGGCTCAGCGACATGGAGGAAACCTAAGTGTTGTTCACACGAGAACGAAATCTCACCGTGAGAACGGGCCTCCCACCGGCCCTTCCAAAGTTTGCGCCATGCGCGCTCAGAATATGGTTTCTGGGACACGATGCCTTCGACCCACTCCTTGAGTTGAGGAACTGCAGCTGGCATACGAGCAACAACTGCACCACCACAAAACATCAATTAGAAGGGAGGAAAAAGAAAAGCGATAAACGAAATCTTGAAAGCAAGGTTATACTTACGTGTCATGTTCCATTTCTCAGGAAATGGCATATACTCGGTCTGGATTAAATCCAAGGTCTTCACTCGGATGAATCGGCCTAACCAGACTCGGTCTCAATCCTCGTCGATGCTCGAGAATGGGGCCTTACTAGCCCGACGGGCAAGTTTGATTAATCCCCCTCGATAGAGTTGCGGACTATACAAATGCATGAGATGGTCGATGGTGAAGGGGCACCCTTTGATTTTGCTTACGAAGAAGCGGAGGAGAATTACTATCCTCCAGAAAGAAGGATGAATTTAACCGAGGATCACCTCGTACCTCTTATAGAAGGCAATAATGACCGGATCCAAGGGGCCCAGCGTAAAAGGATAAGTGTAAACACTTAAAAACACCTTCACGTGGGTAGTAATCGCTTCCTCGGGCGTAGGGACCACCACATGATTATTAACCTAGTTGCAATCCTCTTTGACCTTAGAAAGGAAACTATTAGTGACCGAGCATATATATCTCGAGACCGGTTCACACCAACCCAGTACCGAGGAGGTTTTCTCGACCTTGAAATCAGCACCGATTGGGCACCCCGTAGGAACGAACATCTTCAGGGGAGGTTCCGGTGTCGATTCTTCAGTAGCAGCAGATGATATGTTTTCCTCTATAGCCCATCGCGAGGTAGAGGGAGTTTCCTTTTGGGGAACGGATTTTGAATTCTTTGCCATTTCTTTGATAGATGAAGGAAAGAGAAGATGTTTAAAGATCAAGTTTGATAGCCGGGAATTTAATACTAGAAAGTGTTGAAATTTCTAAGAAACAGAAGTAGAGAAGATTTGGATGTAAAAGTTTGAATGAATGAATAAGGTGGTATTTATAGTTTTCAAATGACGGTTCAAAGCCATAAGTGGCCGACCAGCGACTGACGAATATTTAATGCCATGAAGACGTGACTGACAAGACGTTTCGTTCATTTTGTCGTTTCTGACGCGGAGTACCAAGGGGAGATATCGGAAGCTCATATCGTTTCTCGTCGTTTACTCTCCAAAAAATGAGGGGACTATCTATATACGGTCGAACTCGGGCTCGACTATTGCACAACAGATCGGGCTCAGAACGCGAAGGGTTGAAGATCGACCTCGAATCTTATCGAACCAGAACACGAAGTCAGAATATCCGTCCTCAGGAACATTGAGCCCGTGATCCCGGAATCGACCCTGACCTCGAATAAGCTCGAGGAAATATTGTCGGTATAAAACAATAGAAGACCGAAATAACGGAAGGCCGAAATATTCGTAGCCGATCGGATATTTCGGCGGGAATCTCGGCACGTGTCAGTAAAAAACAGGCAAATCAGCAAACCAGGAGATTTTTCACCTTTTATAGAATTGTATCTAAGATAGGACTCCCCTACTATATAAAGGAGAGTCTGATTAATTATAAAGGACATTGTAACACGCATCCCAAAGCAATATATTACTATTCTCTTCAAGTTATTATTACTCTCTTATTGTTGTGTTACCAATAAAAGCATTTTTGCTCAAGGATGACTAACCTTCAAAGGCTAAGACTGTTTAACTTAAGCGGTTTGCATTCACTTTTCCATTACTTATTTCAATTGCAATCTGATTTGTCGTTTATTATCAAATTAAATCACGTATCCTTAAAACCACTTATAAATTCAATTGTTATCCGATTTTGAGGGTAAACAGTAATCAAATTCGATTATCCGTTCGAACCTAGTATTATGTGAAGTTCAAATTAGAGATATCTGAACCTGCTATTTAGAGTTAAAATTTTCTTCAAGGGAATTCAAAATTTCGAGCTTGGGATCTAAAGCAATTTTTGAACTACCTGGTGTTCTAATATTTTCCAACGAAAATGATTAAATTCTCTTTTATATAAGGGGAACAGGATGGAGAAATAAAAAGGAATTATAAAGTGGGGAATCAAACAAATTCCACGAAAGAGATTCAATTGAAACTCGATCTTTGGTTGTGGATCCGCCTCCATCACCAATGCAAAATGGAAGATTTTACTATCGGTTGCGCTTGCGCTGCTACATATGATATCAAAGTCACTACATGTGGGGCAATAATAGAGTAAACCTCAGTGTTATTAAGTTTGGGCAAATCTTATATTTTCGGGAAGGAAGGGACAATATAATTCTGAATGAAATTGTTGTGCGTTGGTAATAACTTTAAAGTAAAGTACTGATGAACGGAAAGAAAAAGTGCATCCATTCCAGTAAATACTTTGGTATATGTAGATTTAGCAATAAACAATTACTATCGTCATTTTGAGGCGTAATTATATATGTCACTACTTTAAATTCTAAAGACTATATATAAAGAAACAATTATCAAAACTTGATGTAATGCTATTTGTTTATAGAAATAGTGTAAATATAGATAATTAACGGTGTTAAATTTGAAGATTACAAATTTACAATATGAAGCTGTGACGTACTCTACAGATGCAAAAAGAAACAAAATTGGCTAGGGTTAATTCGTATAGTGCAAAAATTTGACAGATATTTTTTTCCTAATTTATATTTGCAAAGTCGAGATAAAAAATTTATAAAGTAGAAAAATGGCATCGATGAAGATGAAGAAGTGGGAGGACAAAAAAAAAGGAATCTCTACGCATATAACCAATTCATTATTTAATTTTTATAGCTAATATACGTAGATTATAAACTAATCATATATGATTTATGAATCATATATATGAATTACGCATATATTATACATCCGCCGTCTATTTTAGTTTAAACAATTGAGTGAACAATTATTTAGATTAATTATTTTTATAAAAAAACGATGAATTTCAACTGATAAAATATTAAAACCTGTGGCAGATGGAGCATGTATCCAATTCCAGTACTACATAAACAAAATGGATGCACCAAATTAATAATTTAACGTTTTAAACAAGAATGATAAAAATTTGACCTTTATGAGTGTCCAGAAGAAACGCGCTTAAATGTTTAGGGGGGGGG